CAGCCAGCAGAATGGCTCGGCAAGAAACCCCCGGCACCACATGGCCCGTTCCAAAATTGCCCTGATTTTCTTCCAGTGTAATTAGTTTGGGGTGTTTCTTTTCATGAAGTAATTATCCTGGAATGAAAGCAGGTGCCCAGGCAGCTCTGGTGAGGATGTGCCAGTCTGCTGCCCCGGGGCGAAGGCTGAGGCCAGGTTATGTCTCCTGAATTTTGCCGACCTCTTGTGGTCCACAGCAATTAAAGCAGAACGATGGGAAACCTCAAAAAAAAAACCAAAACAACCCACCAACCTAGCAGCCAAACCCAGCTGGATGGTTAGTGGGAGGAATAACACACTGGGACACGGGAAATTTGAACTGGGCACCAGTAGCTTAGCTGGGGCTGGGAGGATTTCAATGAAGTTTTTTGTCGGCAGCGTGACAACGGGAAGAGTTTCTCCGCTGAAGGTGATTTGTGGGGGATTTGGCTGGTTTGAAGCCCAGCATCGAACTATTTTGGGCACAAACACGATTCATGACTCTGCTGAAATAATAAACCACAGCCGCACCTCAAAGGTAGCAGACTGCAAAAGGGAGCGGGCACTCCAGATTAAACCCCGGGTTGGAACCTCGTCAAAGTGACTTTTTGTGAAACCTTCAAACCAAACATGAGGTATTTCTTTGTAGAAGCCTCCATCAAAAGATGATGTTTATTTATAGACATCATTTGAAGGCAAATAAAGCTACAGCCAGCCTGGGAGTGGGATTAGCCACCGCGATTTTCAGGTCCAAACCAAGTGAAACAGAAAAAGAGATTCAACTTGAAAGAGTAATTGTTGGTTTTGTCGTTCTATTCTGAAGAGATGCCAGCGGTGAGAAAATAATTTGGGTTTAGAGAGCCTTAGGGAGACTTTGTGGTACCGACGCAGCAGCCCAGGTAAAGAGCCCTGGAACGGCTGGTTAACCCCGCGGACACCGTTACGGGCAACTGCGAGGGACGACGTGGACACGGGGAGCTAACCTGCCCCTCGAAAAGCTCTTCTGGGACCCAAGATGTTTGCATTTTGCAGGACAGGGAAGGCCAACAGTACACGTGGTGGGTTCCAGGCAGATGAGGTCAAACACAGACCTGAACAGCAAGCTCTGCGCAATCCCTAGTCCCTTGAGCACTTTCCAGCTGAGGTTCCCCAAACACCTTCTGTTCAGCCCCCTCTCCTGAATGAACGTTTTGTTATGTACATAAAAAACCTGACCTACGAGTCGGGGAAAAGCCAGTTTGGTCTCTTTTGGCTGCCTTCAGCTCTCCTTCAAGAGCTGACCAGCACGAGGTTGAAAGCAGCAGCATCGTCCACCTCCACCTCACGGTGGTTTATCCTCAGCAGAGCTCCCTGCGAGCTCCTGCCTCCCCTCCCCGCCTCCCTGGCATCGCTTTGCTCTCCCCGAAGCACCAAGAGCCCCAGCAGGGATAAATCCAGCAGCTCCCACAAGCTGGAAAACAAAATCATTGCTCTACCAGGCTCCTTGCCTCGGTGTCCCCTGGCACTGCCGCCGCTGCACAGAGCCTCTCCCGGACCGCAGCGTCCCCGTTGTGGGGGAGAAGAGAGGCCACCGGACCATTTTCTATGGGATTTCTAAGGAAAACGACAATCCGTGGAGTCAGCTTGGACAATTGCTGCCCACATCTACCGGCAGGAGACCGGAGCATCCCTGCCACGCTTCCGCAAGAGCCGTCTTCTGCTCTCAGCCGTCCCCAACACCGCTATTGATTGCATCAATGTGCATTGCTTTTACGCAGAGAAATGAAACTCTCAGCCAGGGTTATTTAGCGAATAAAGGTCTAGGATGGGACTTTCCATCACCAGCCTCCGGGGGCTGTCGGGCAAATCACGTCCTTCCCCCATGTGCGGTTTTCCCCTTTCCATGCAGAAAAGGGAGATACCAGTGCTAGGATATAATAAATAATAAACCTTATTATTTATTATAATAAATATCTTAATAAACCAGCGCTCGTCCTCTCCAGTAAAGACGAGCAGGCTGAGCTGTGGGCTCTGGCAGCCGCCAACTCAAACCTTGACTCTGCGGGGCGGAGATGAGAAAAAAAATACTTAGCAAATTTCCCGGCCCTAAATTCCCCCCGTTAAATCCAGCCAGGAGCTGGCGGTGCCTGTGGGTACCCTCCCGGGTAGGGAGAAGCGAAATCCCCGCAGGAGGGTGTCACTGCTCCCAGCAGAGCTCTTTCTGCGTGGGGATGACTCACCCGGCGGCTGCCTCCCGGGAGCGCGTCTGTCCACCTTCTGCAAAAAAATAGGGACTCCCTCCAAAACCAGAGCAAAGCTCCCTGACGCTACGCAAAGCCTGAATGTTGAGCCAGAAAATAAAACAGGTATTTGCTCATTCATGGCGTCAATTAAACAAAGTGAATTCGGGAGGAGGGTCAAGATAACGCCTGATCAAGGCGGTGAGCTGCTGGGATCACCGAGAGAATCATTTCCCAGGGTATGATCCCCAAAATCCTGATGTTTTCTTCCCCTCTGGCAATGCCTCCAGCCATCCCGAGATCCTTCTGCCCCGAAAAAGCCCAGGGAGGGAAGGCTGAAGCTCAGCCATACCCACTGCCCTCCTCTCTGAGCTGATCTCTGATCAGATTCGGGCTTCATCCCGCAAGGAGTTCAGCGCAGGAGGAGCTGCATGGAGGGGGGCTGCGCTACCCCCCTGCCCCCCGCTGCAGGATCAGGCCCTCCATGAGCCCCCATCGCACCGCAGCGAGTGTGGAGGGGGATCAGCACCTCATTTCAGAGCTGGGCACTGCTGAGCCTCGAAAGTGAGGGGCCACGGGGGCATTTCCCAGTTGCAGGCCCAGTCTGGCTGGTTTGAATTACCCGGCGTATTCTGCTCTTACCTGGTTTTAACCTTAAAAAACCATTTGGTGTTTGGGGGGCGTACAACGTGTTTGGGTTTGGTTTTTTTTTTTTAATTTTAACTCCAAACCCAACCACTGA